CTTTTGTAGTTTACAGTATGCATATATGTTTACAGGTTAACATCATCAATTTTTCTGTTCAGTGTTATTTTGTTTATATTACATTAAAGTGGACATTTCATCAACTTAAGCTGGCAATACACATTTAGATTTCTCACATTCAGCCTCGCAGGCTGAGTAAGAGAATTTATGGGACCTCCCATCCATGGCTGTTGTATTTTGTCAGCCGCCACCTGAATTGTATGGTTGTGGCCACGCCCTCAGTATCCTAGTGTACAATATAGGATTATTGGGACTTTATTCTAAAAAAGTCAGAGGAGCAATCCAAAGAGCAGTTAATGCATTTCCAGGAGTCCAAAAGTGCACATTTCATCAGGGCTTGAGATTTAAAACAATGTGAATGGACTAGAAGTGAAATGTACCTTTAATTGTCTTTCTTCAAGCTGGTTTGGCTACAAGAATAAGGTAAGTATTATTATTCATCTACCTCCACCCCTTAACCCCTGCAGTATAGGGGGCCCACTGCAAATGTTTTTTTTTTTCTTTGTAGAGTGGGAATGTGAAAAAAAAATCTGCTGCTGGGTCAGTTTTAATGTTGCTGAATTATTAGTCAGTCTTCACGCAGTAAACTAAACTAATCCTATTTTTTTTCTTACTTTAAAATTGAAGCCTCTATTGTACCAGCAACAAAGAGCAAAGCCAGCAATCACTAGATCCCCTCAGACATGCATGTGACCCAAATGAATGGCATGCATTCTCAGATGTTATAGCAACTAACCTGCTAATCCCCAACAGCTAGAAGAAGAGAAGTGATATCTTTATCTACATGGGGGTACTTCTAAACAATAACAGCCAAGTGTCAGTCATATTGATCCAATGTTTAGGTATCTTCCAATATTAAAACAATTGCAAATAAAAAAAACACATTACAGTTTGAAACTGGAACAGGGCTATTTATTTAACACTTCAACTAGCATTTTAACAAAGAAATATTTAAATCTGAGGGCCCTGCTGATAAGATCTTACAATCTGGTACAACAGGTATATAAAAATAATTGTGGGAGATGAGCTGATGGAAGAGTTAAAAGTTCAGTTGTTAGTTGCAATCGTGATAGGCTTCCCTGAAGAGATGAGTTTTCAGAGATTGCCTGAGGGTGGCCAGAGTAGGAGATAGCCACACAAATTGAGGTAGAGTTCCAGGTGATAGGTGAGGCTCTGGAGAAGTCCTGGAGATGAGCATGGGAGGAGGAGACAAGAGAGCTCGAGAGCAGGAGGTCTTGGGAGGAGTGGAGAGGATGGTTTGGATGATATTTGGACACAAGATTGGTAATATAGCTCAGGGCAGGAGTTGTGAATGGCTTTGTATGTTTTTGTCTGAATTTTGAATTTAATGAATTCTTAAACCCACCTGAATTTAATTAGGTATCAACCTTTTAAAATGATTTGTCCAGTAGAACTTAGACCGGCTTTTCTTGTTCACTCTCCCACCTTACATTTCCATCTCATTTTTTCTAAACCCAGGCTTGCACTTTTTAGCAAGGCAGCTCATATCAGGCCATGATCATGCTGCACATAGAACTCGGCCCAACATCATTTGATATACAAGTTTGTGGCTGCTGAGGCTGAAGATGTAGGAGACAAAATGACACCCCCAGCACTAAACAGCATTTTGAGACCATTGGATGGCGGAAACTTGGAGCAGAATAAAGGGCAAGGGCTTAATTGACAGACATATTTCAAGTATTGTGAAAACGCTGAGAAATGATGAGAAAATTTAGGGCACAGTCATTTCACATCAATGGGTTGCATACAACTCATAATGTTTTCTTTATAATTAAACCACAACTCTTGCTATGTACTTTCCATAATCCTCTTTTAGGTAATCAGTTTTTATTGTAGAATATGGTAATGAATTAAAAGAAACAGTAATCAGAAATAAGACATATTACTGAGACATACATTAAGTTAACAAAAAGAACATACAGAAAGGGTATATCTACAAGATATCCATAGGGAATAAAGAAGCTAGCTAAGAAAAGGGAACTAGGGGTAAAAGGAAGTATTAGGATGGGTCTCTATTTTCCAGTTTATTATAGGGTTGATTAGTACTTTGAAGAGGGGTTAAGCGTGAGAAGATGTTTTATAAGGATAATAAGGAGTGGGGGAAGGGGACAAGGAGGCTCATGCCAGGATCCTGAACTCATCAGAGCCCATAAATATAATCCAAGGTAGCCAAATGTTTCTGAAGGCTTCAAATGGATCATAGTGATAGTAAGTTATCACTTCCATTCTCATCAATCGACAAACCTCAGTAAGCCATTCTGATGATAGACGAGAGAGAGAAAAAGGAGAGAATATTAAAGAATGATATTAACATAAAAAAAGGAATTAAATAAAAAATGATATATATATATATATATATATATATATATATATATATATATATATATATAAAATAAATTATATATACATAGAAATAGAATTACATGAGATCTAGTATGTTAATTTGCCTACGTTAATGAAGTCCTCCTATTTACTATTGATGCCTGATATACATCTACCTCTTGTGAGTTTTTATACTTGTGTGCAATAAACTATGAGTTCCGGTTTACTCTAGAGGGTGCAGCCTCACGACGGTGTTATACTTTGCAGCATTTTTAAACTACCCCCCTCTCACCTAGAACTACCTAAGCTGCATGATCCCCCACCATACATCCCATACCCCCTCCACTTAAAACCTGCCCCCCCCCTTGTCTTTGTGGAGAAGTCCCTGTACTTCCCTACAGCTGAACTGCCTTCATCTCCCTATGACTTTTATGAGTATTATACCCACAACCACCTCTCCTGTGCCAATACGCATTTCTTTCTCATTCTGAGATGATGAAGGTCATGATGGTGTTCCAATGCCTGGGTATTAAAGTGGTTGTAAACCTCAGACATGAAATATGAACAAGACAAATCCATCTACAGTGTGTACTTGCCTCAATTAGGAGTACTAAGTGTAATTTCTGTCTGCTGCTTTGTTCTTCTGCTATCTGCATCAGTGGTGTATATTTTTACTTATGTTATAATGTAAACACATTGCTAATAGCAATAGCTACATATGTGTAGCTTAACTATTGATATGTGCACTGTTTTGAACTTAAACCAGCCATTCTATGTACTTTTTTGAAGTGTCAGTATAAAATTGGTGCCGTTTCTAAATTTTGGGCATCCTGTCAGTAGATTTCACTTCAGGGGGTTGGCAACACTGGTCCCTTCTTCATTGTATCTTTCTCTCTCCTTTCAGACAGAATAAAAAACAATGTGTAACATAAATAAATATTAAAAAAAGGAAAAAAAAATACCTAAATCAAGGTTTTGATCTAGGTCAGTGCCAGGCTTATTGTTTGGGTCAAGTAAAGGTCAGGGTCAACGATCATGGTCAAAGGTCAGGGTCAGAATATTTTGGGCAGGACTTTTTTTTTAAATTAGTATCAGTGTGTTTTAGGTAGGACAAAAAATGCGCACTATTATTTTTGGGCTGTACTACGGGTACAAACAACAAGTAACATACACATATGTGGTATCACTGCAATCGTTAGGAGCAGGAGAAATTATTTTGGGCTATTGGTGGTAGAGTATGGTAGTAACAAGAAATATACAGCTAAATTAGAAAAAAAAAATTTCTACCATTTTGGCTCAGTTTTCCTTTCATAATAAAAAAAAAAAAAATCAGGAGATATCCATTACCATTTACCACCAAATGAAAGCTCAATTTGTACTACAAGAAAAAATGACTACCTATTGGAATTTAATGCAGCAAACATATCATCACACATGTACTCATAAAGAACTCTTTTTGGTCATACACTTTATTGTACAAATATATTGTACAAAGATACATTACATTTAAAAACACACTGGCTCTGATAACTATTCCAGGGATGTATTCCCTTTAAGTTGAAACAAAACAACATACCCAAAATACCGTTGACACATTTCAATCATTCCACTTTTAGATCTTCTTCAAGGGGGCATGAGTACAAAAGGGATCTAAGGGAATTCAACGGTTAATGTTTATCAGAGCAGTCATAAAAATGCTGACATCCAAGGTGGGACTGCATAGGCCAAAATTCAATGGTATAAACCATCGGACAGCAGAGAAGGAAAGCCAAATCACCCTCCATATCCTTTGTATGTGGCCAATAAACACAATGAACTAGACACACGTACTCATAAAGAACTCTTTTTGGTCATGCACTTTATTGTACAAAAATATTGTACAAAGATACATTACATTTAAAAACACACTGGCTCTGATAACTATTCCAGGGATGTATTCCCTTTAAGTTGCAATGATACAACATTCCCAAAATACCGTCGACACGTTTCAATCGTTCCACTTTTAGATCTTATTCAGGGTGCATGAGTACAAAAGGGATCTAAGGGAATTCAACGGTTAATGTTTATCAAAGCGGTTATAAAAATGCTGACATCCAAGATGGGACTGTATAGGCCAAAATTCAATGGTATAAACCATCGGACAGCAGAGAAGGAAAGCCAAATCACCCTCCATATCCTTTGTATGTGGCCAATAAACACAATGAACTAGAATGTTCCTCGTTCAGCCCAATTTGTCCTAAAAAAACAAGATATGATTCACTTATATGCAATAAATAGTTGTGATGATATGTACGTTTTACTAACACTTGTCAAATTTGCAAAATTGCGCTTAGCCATTAGGCTTTGTATTACCCTTAGACTTAAACCCTAGCTGCGGTAAGAAAGAAGCAGAATGGTGTTTTTTGTTTCCATACTCTTTTTTAATATAATTACAGGCATACCTCGGTTTACGAATGCCTCGGTTAACGTAATTTTTGGTTTACGAATGAAAATCCATTGAAAATAATGCCTCGGTTTACAAATTTTTTTTGCAATACGAAGCAAGTTTCCACAGGATGCATTGCACCTGGGAGGTTTATAGCACCGCCCCCGTGCATGCTGGAGTCTGTGGGTAGCAAGTGGCGTCGAGTGTGGAGGTGTTGGAGCGGTTTTCGCATCAAGTTTTTGAGCCATTCTGGAAATTTTTTAATCATGTCCCTGTACAGTATTTATGCCTTTAACCTCCTTAGCGGTTTTCCCGAGCGTAGCTTGGGGTAAAATTTCAATACCAAGAGCGGTAACCCCGAGCTACACTCGGGCTTACCATGCGGCGTTGCTCAGGGGGTCCCTGCAGCACTTACCTTGTCCTTCACTCCCGCGATGTGTCCCCTGCAGCGTCCCCGGCCATCTCCTCCGGCCGATGCCGGCATCCGGCTTCCGTGTTCCGGTCCCTGTGACGTCGGGACGTACGGGCGCCGGAACCGGTGGGAAATTTGACATTTTTAAAAAATGTCATTTTTGCTGTCATTGCTGTTTCAATGCATTTCACATATATTTTGCCCCTAGTGCTTTGTCCTGTGCCCTGCCTGCATTTTGACTGTTCTTTCTGCCTGGAAACTTAGAAAAGTCCATGGCGTCCAAAAAGCATCCCTTTACGTCAAAAGCGGTTTTAGAACAGCGATAGTAAATCAGAACCACTTGCAGAATTGAGTGATAATGATTCGTGGGGAAATTCGTCATCAGACACTGAAAACGATTTTGCGACTTTGCTCAGCGATGTGCGAATTTGCCTCTGTATTTCAAATTTCAGTGTTTTTGGTTTGATTATATTATTGAATTAAATTATTATTATTATTATATTATTATTTTTTATGATTATTTATTAAATTATAATTTATGATATCCAGAATGTTTACTAGACTCTTGTTCGTACAGATTTCAGTGAGTTATTCCTAAAAATTACAGCCTACAATAAAAAACTACATATTTCCATGCAAAAAAATGGTACCGCTTTCAGCACAAAAAATCGGAAAGAATCATACCGCCGAGGAGGTTAAAGTGCACTTTATAAAGAGTTTTGAACAGATAAAATACCTTTTTTTTACTTTTTTCTCACCTCTGGAATGGATTAACTGGTTTTCAATGCATTTACAAATTAATTTTTAATCATGTCCCTGTACAGTATTCATGCCTTGAAAGTGCACTTTATAAAGAGTTTTGAACAGATTAAAAGACTTTTTTTTTAACTTTTTTCTCACCTCTGGAATAGATTTACTGGTTTTCAGTGCATTTACGAATTACTTTTTAATTATGTCCCTGTACAGTATTCATGCCTTTAAAGTGCACTTTATAAAGAGTTTTGAACAGATAAAATACCTTTTTTTTTTACTTTTTTCTCACCTCTGGAATGGATTAACTGGTTTTCAATGCATTTACAAATTAATTTTTAATCATGTCCCTGTACAGTATTCATGCCTTGAAAGTGCACTTTATAAAGAGTTTTGAACAGATAAAAGACTTTTTTTTTAACTTTTTTCTCACCTCTGGAATAGATTTACTGGTTTTCAGTGCATTTACGAATTACTTTTTAATTATGTCCCTGTACAGTATTCATGCCTTTAAAGTGCACTTTATAAAGAGTTTTGAACAGATAAAATACCTTTTTTTTTACTTTTTTCTCACCTCTGGAATGGATTAACTGGTTTTCAATGCATTTACAAATTAATTTTTAATCATGTCCCTGTACAGTATTCATGCCTTGAAAGTGCACTTTATAAAGAGTTTTGAACAGATAAAATACTTTTTTTTTTTTAACTTTTTTCTCACCTCTGGAATAGATTTACTGGTTTTCAGTGCATTTACGAATTACTTTTTAATTATGTCCCTGTACAGTATTCATGCCTTTAAAGTGCACTTTATAAAGAGTTTTGAACAGATAAAATACTTTTTTTTTTTACTTTTTTCTGACCTCCGGAACGCATTAATTGGTTTTTAATGCATTACTATGGGAAACCGGGTTTTGGTTTATGAATTTTTCGCAAAATGAAACGCCCCGGGAGAACACATTAAATTCGTAAACCAAGTTATGACTGTACACCTAGTACAAAGAACCAGTGCAAGAAGTTAGTAATGATAAGTTAACTATTTAGTATTTTGAATAAATAACAGTGCATTCCATTCTCTATTGCACTGCCATCTTTGTTACCTTTTTTCTCCACTTTTCTCCAGTTTATGTCTAAACCTCAGTGTGACACCTAAGTGACCTAGCAAGTTACTGTTACTTATATGTCAGTTGCCTGATCATATTACAGTAATCTTTTGTCTCAGCAGAATGACAGGACGTGCAGTAAATAGTCATGTTTCAAACACACCGAGGTCTAATTTATTGTTAGCGTGATTGTAATAACCACTTGTGAAGGGCGCAAATGGGTAATCCTCCTATTTAAGTCATATTACTTTTTCATAGGCTAGGCTGCTAAGCAACAGGGTGAGCATTTGTCAACAATGAAGAAATTAAATCCCGTTTTAGAAGGGAAAAAAATACTTGGCAATGTTAAAGATGCAGGTACGCTTTTGAATGCCTCTAAAAGATGTGTTAATTAAAGAAGAACAACAGGCAAACCACAAGATTCAGTAACAAAATAAGCCATACAAGCTTTGCTTTACCTGTATCTTATTATTGTTAATGGATTGTTTGCCAGAAAACCTAATTAATCTGCAGCAGTTCCCAGACTTCAATAACTCAAAAGGCCTGGTTGAAACATTAAAGTGTTACTAATCCCATGACCCTGCATTCACTAGATTTGGTCTCCCATAGTATACAGAACATGGAAATGCAATTATTTTAGTAAATATAAACGGCTAAATACATTTTCTCATGAGCAGTCTTGTGACTTCTATCAGTGTTCAGCAGAGTACTAGTTAAAACTTGTAGGGGGAGTTTTCATTCTCCCCTTATAGACTGCAGGACCCCTGACCTCTGTCTGGACAGTTAAAAAAGTAACAGATAAAAATGACATAAGCTGCTACCATAAAGGATGAACCCCTATATCCTCCAACAAAATTGTAAACAAATATGCAGCGCTATAAATAGAAAGTGATGAGTGCTTAGGGAGGTATAATCTCACTAAATAAACCAAAGTACATAAATTCCAAATACAAAAAAGTGCAATATTGATAGTGCAAAATGATAAATCTCGTCTATTGGATGACGAGTACACATGTGAATGGATATATAATAATGATTAATCTTAGTGACAAGTATTAGTGAGAATGAATGTGTTTAAACAGCCAAAAATTATATATGGTAATTACCAACAATTATATCCGACAAATAAAAGAATAAAAAAATATATGTCAATATAAAAATAAAGTCCAAACAAAACGTGAATGGATAAAAAATAAAATGGTGAATAGTAGTGATCGTTATAAAATAATGTTCAAATGTATAGTGACGGAGGACAGAGAGGAGAAGGCAGACCGATCCCGCTCCAGCATGCAGCACACTGAGCATTTCTCATTTTATCATGAGAAATCATGAGCACGGAAGTTTTCATCCACCATCTCCGTTGGACTGTACTTTTATGTGATCAGCACTATACATTTGAGCATTATTTTATAACGATCACTACTATTCACCATTTATTTTTTATCCATTCACGTTGTGTTTGGACTTTATTTTTATAGTGACATATATTTTTTTTCTTTTTTATTTGTCCGGATATAATTGTTGGTATTTACCATATATAATTTTTGGCTGTTTAAACACATTCATTCTCACTAATAGTTGTCACTAAGATTTATAATTATTATATATCCATTCACATGTGTACTTGTCATCCAATAAACAAAATGTATCATTTTGCACTATCAATATTGCACTTTTTTGTATTTGGAATTTATGTACTTTGGTTTATCTGTCTGGACAGTGCTAATTGGTCCTGTGCTGATCACATGCACTCTCCCAAAAAAAAAAAAAAGCAATACACTCTAGCAATACACAGTAAACTGAGCATGTGCAGCTTATCCCAAACCTCTGTTTTATCATGAGATATATTGAGGACTGTGGAAGAGGGGGAGGATCAGAGAAGAAAGGATGAAACAGCCTTTTTACTCATTATGGAGGATTAACCCGTTATGTTCCACAGTGAGTGTAACACGCATGCTTTACTACATATACAGACTGATTTTACTGTTGTGGGTTTAGTAACACTTTAACCACTAGCCGCCCGGCCAATAGCCGTTTGGTGGCTGGCAAAATGCTGTAGATTTCCGGGGTGGACGCCATATGGCGTCCTCCCAGGCATGCGCAGTTTTCGCGCTTGCAGAGCTGCACAGTGGCGCGATCTGTCACCGGCCATGTACCTCGGACACGGCCGATGACAGATCTGAGTGCCGGCCCCCGTTGCTGGTTCCATGTGACCTGCTGTGACCAATCACAGCAGGTCACATGACAGTTGTATACAATGGATGGCTTCATTCATGCCATCCATTGTATACTAGTGTCTAGCTGTGAATGGTCACAGCAATCACATGCACATGTCATGTGATTAGCTGTGGCCAAATCACAGCTAAGCACAAAAAAAAAAAAAAAAACCCTGAATGAGTCAATGTCATTCAGGTAAATGCTTGCTTATAGCAAAGTAATTCTTTGCTATAAGCAAATTGTGTAAAAAAAAAAACAATACTGATCACTTCCCAAAGTAGTACAATGTTACTATGGTAACATTGTACTACTTTGGACATAGTGAAATATGAAAAAAAGATCTTAAAAAAATAAAAAAATGTAATAAAAAATTAAAAATAATAAAAGACAATATATATATATATTATTATTATTATTTTTTCATACTGACACCAGTCATTGTCCCTGATCACCACCATGCCAGTTCTATGATGACGCTGTCCTCCACTGGTGACAGTATGTAAAAAAAAATAGTGAAAATAATTTTTTTCATTTTTTCATTTTCTGAAAAATTATGACAAAAAAATACAACTTCAAAAAACTCGCCATTCCTCTTATGAAGTACGTCGGACTGTCTACTCTGCAAAAAGGGGTCATTTGGGGATATCTGTACTGTTCTGACATTCTTGGAATTCAAGAAATTAGATTGGCTGTCAGTACTTCCGGATTGATCAATATTCAGATCTATACCATAGTTTGTGAACTCTATAACTTTCCTACAGACTAAAAAATACATCCTAATTTGGGTTATTTT